TTTCCCTTCAGTGCTTTCAACAACATCCTCAGCAATGTGGGCCACATGCTGCTGGGCTTTCTCTTCCTCCTCATTGTGTTGCGCAGAGACATTCTCCACCGTCGGGCCATGGAGATGAAAGATATCTATACTATGGTAGGAAGCATGGTTACACGGGGCTGAGTGGAGGGAGGAAAGACAGGGAGAACTTGAAAACCAGTGATACACAGTGGCTTTCCATTTGCCTTCCTTACTGGAAGACTGAATCCTCCTCTTTTTTTCCTCCCCTGAAAAAGGGTCTAGGTGGGAGGCTTATGTTCTTGCACACCCCAGTACTTTGCTGCTTTGTATGTCCATACTGCCATGGTGACCCAGCTTGGGCTTGCAGAGATGAGTAGGGGAACAACTCCTGTGGTTGTGGCTTTTCCTCCAATGTTTACTGTGGAGGAACTGGGGCAGTAGGAGTGTCCTGATATGCCTTTGTTTATAGTGAGGCTTGATTTGTCTTATACAATCAAGAGTTCCTTCTTGGCACTCTTGTTAGCAAGAGAGAATAGAACTGCCTATGATAACCCAGAGGAATTTGGCTGCATCTAGCTCTGAAGCAGAGCTGCTTGTAGCCAGAGCTTCTGCAGTCTCTTCAGTATCTTCTGGGGGAGGATGGAGAAACCTGCAGCCCTGTGGGCAATGGTGCTGGTAGTTTCTGGAGACAAACGCCTGTTTTCACTGGATTGGTAGCAATTAAAAGTCTTAGCAGTTTTAAGGGTCTGCTGCTTATGGTTTTCAGATGAGATGTCAGCCAGACTGTGATGGAGATGCCTTCTTGCCTGGGCTGATGGGCTCTGCTCCTCAGGTGCTTTTAACCCACTACTGACCACAGGAGCAAGGCTGCTATTCTGGATCCCTAGTGCTCTCTCAATTTTGGGCAGAATGTAACATGGCACGAGGTACAGGATAGAGATTTTTAGTCTCAAAGTGTCAGTATGAAGACACTAAGGTGTTCAGACCAGAAATTTCTGTGTGATCAGCATGGGTTTTCTGCCTGTGGATTTACCTGGCTATGCAGTGTGGCTAAATGGAGAGCCTACAGTTGCACACAGCACGCTGTGCTTCACTGATGACCGAAGGACATGCATAGGGATTAGGAGGGATGAAGTGATGGAGAATGGAAGCTCGCTTGTCATCAGGACAGTAAAGGTACTTACTATGCAGCTCTGCTCTCTTCTAGGACTATGGGATCCCAAAGCATTTTGGTCTCTTCTATGCTATGGGCATCGCTCTGATGATGGAAGGGGTGCTCAGTGCCTGTTATCATGTCTGCCCTAATTACTCCAATTTCCAGTTTGGTAAGATGAGTTTCCTTTCTCCTTTTGAGCTGGAGGTAGGATTTGCCATGCCCTGTCTTCTGCGGAGTTGCTGGCATTTCCTTACCCTTGCAAGCTTCCCTGGAGCCTGCCTGTTCCAGGGCTCAGTCAGGAGGCACTGAGTCTTTGGATGCCAGGGACTAACACATTTCAGCCTCCTCTGCAGACCCTGGGACTCTGGTAGTGCACTGCTGGCAAGATCTCCCTTTGCTTTTGCAGCTCGGTGTTTGAAGATGGTAAGTGCATAGCTTGAGTGGCAGAGTGCTCAAGCCTAGGAAGCCTCTGTCTGCCATCCCAGTGGAAACTTTCCTCTGTGGCGTCCTTCATCTTCCTGGGCAAGAGAAGACTCAGGCAGGATCTTGTCTATGTGTGTAAATACTCAATGAGAGGGAATGAAGATGAGTGAACCAAGCTCTACTCGGTGGTGTGCAGTGACAGAACAAGAGTCAGTGGGCACATATTAAACCACAGAAAACTCTATCTGAACACAGGAAAATAATAATTTCCCCCCACCTCCCTTTGAGGGTGGTCAAAGACTGAACAGGTTACCCAGAGAGGCTGTGAAGTCTTCTATGGAGATATTCAAAACCTGATTGGTCACGGTCCTGGACAACCCTCTCATAGCTGACCTTGCTTGAGCAGTGGGGGGTGTTGGGCCAGACAACCTCCAGAGGTCCCTTCTAACCTCAGCCATTCTGTGATTCCCTGCCAGTTTCTGTGCTGCACTGTGGGCACTTATTTTCTAAGCCCCTTTAGTTTTTGTTGCCCCAGGGCTTGGTAGATCTGCTGCAAGATGGCAAAGCACAAAGTGCTGTACAGTGTACTGCAGCATCAGGGATTTGTGCCTGCCAGCCTTGGGTTTGGGCCTGCTGCTGCACTTCTTTGTATGCACTTGGAGCAGCTTTCTCAGCCTACTACTTGTTTTCACTGTTTCTATTGTGGTCCTTCCATAGACACCTCCTTCATGTACATGATCGCAGGACTGTGCATGCTCAAGCTCTACCAGACCCGCCACCCCGACATCAATGCCAGTGCCTACTCTGCCTATGCCTCCTTTGCTGTGGTCATCTGTCTGGCTGTCCTTGGAGTGGTATGGCTCCCTCTTACCTACCTGCTTCTCTGGGAGGGAGATGGTATGGCTGGGAATGTAGCTTAAGTGGGAAAATGACGGGGGAGAGCAGCAGGGTAGGCTAAGAGTGTGTTAAGTAGCTGCTAGCATTTGAATTCCCAGCACTCTTGGGGTTTTCCTCCTCCCTTCCCCTGGGTTTTCAGGGAGAGGAAGATCAGAGCAGTTTTCTCTAGGTGGGCTCAGTTTTGGGCTTTGCCCACCACATGCCCTCAAGAGGTGGAATTCATGCATCCAGGTGTCTGTGACCAAACTTGTAGCTGGTCTCCTGTGGGCTGGCTCACCTTGGAGGAGATGAGGCTGGCTGAGCTTCCAAGACAAGTCTTCTCTACCTAATTGCTTGTGCCTCTTTCTCCCCTTTGGAAAACGCAGCAACATGCTGGGTACAGCTCCTGCAGTTTTTCTTGCTATCTTTGGAGAGGTGCAGGGTTAGAATAATGGCTGAGGGGCTCCTGAGCAAGTTTCTGGAATACCTGCCTATAGAAGGGCACTGGAACAGAAGGGATCACAAGAGGATTGCTCTTGTGCACCAGTAGTCACTGACAGGTCAGGCTGGCACAGGGCTTTGCCCATTTGCTCATAGCATTGCAGGTATTGAGCTGAGCTTGCCTGAATCCTCAACCGGTGCTTTACCTTGGAGGTCTCTGCTTCTCTTTTTTTGGAGGACTCTTTTGCTTGGCAGTAACCAGGCAAAGTCCGTTCAGTTCTTGCTCTGCACTAGCAGCTAGATCCCAGCAGGCTGTCAGGCCCTCACTACCACACATAACACAGAATTACCAGCTTATTGTGCAAAGCTCTCTAGGGAGGAGACTGTGGCATAAGGCATGCAGGAGCAGCTGGCAAACTTGGGACTTTCCAAGAATCTCTTGTTAGCTGTGGTAGATCTGCACTCCCAGGTTCAAAACATTTGGGTTTTTATTATGGGATGCTGTTTCTTTTCTTGTGGGATGCTTTAAAGCTGTAGTTTCCCCACACAGGAAATGTTCAGGCAAGTGCTCTGCCCCAGGGGAGGGGAGTGCAAGGTCACAGCCTGATGGCAGACCAGAGTTTCTGGACTCCTTAATGTATAACTGAAAAATTAAAGTTTTAATATAGCATTAACCTGCATTTGTAGGTCACTTCCAGTCCTTAAATAAAGTGAAACTGTACGATAGGTGCAATTGCCTGCAGAGCAGCTTTGTCCTTTTTGGTCTACTGTGGTGTGCTTGCTAAAGTAATGGTTGGTTCCCTGACTGCCTTTTTAAAAATCCAGCTCCTGACCACGGAACTGCTGCTCACCTCAGCAGAGAGAGCTTGCCTAGCCTGGGAGTCCCTGCGTTTCTGCTCCCTGGGCCAGCTGTGGTCCTTCCAAGCCGTCATCCTTGCTGAAGGGGCATTCAGAAAGAACAGTCTCCTCTCCAGAAGTGCTGAGCTCCTCTTGTTTCTCTGGACTTTGTTTGGATTTATAGATCTGGTCTGGCGTTGAAAGATTTGCAGGTTTCTCTTCCATGTTCTGTGAGGTTGTCTAATACCCTCTGGTGACACAGGAGAGAAAAGGATCAGCCCACTGATAACAGGACTCAGTTTTCTTTTAACATGTCTGCTTTCAGGTGTTTGGGAAAAATGACATGTGGTTTTGGGTCATTTTCTCAATGATCCATGTTCTGGCCTCGCTGGCTCTCAGCACCCAGATCTACTACATGGGCCGCTTCAAGATCGGTAAGTGCTGTGACTGAACCATCTTGCTGTAGGGTGTGCAGGTGCCTCCTGTCCTCACCTGTGTGAGTTGCCTATGCAGCACATCTGTGAGCATGGTCTGGTGGCCTGTGCTTGTGTTCTGGGTTATCCTGTCCTATCCATCCATCTGATGATCCATCTCTTCCTGGCCTCTGAAGTCCTTGTGCTGCTGCTTGTGCTTGTGTTCTGGGTTATCCTGTCCTATCATCCATCTGATGCTCTTCCTGGCCTCTGAAGTCCTTGTGCTGCTGCTTCCCAGACCCTTGGGATTCAGCACAACCTGACTGCTCTGCGGTGGCAGAAGAACTGGGCTCTGAGGGACCCTGCCCTTCAGCTACAGTTCTCTCTAGCCCTGTGAGCTACATAAAAATGCAGTCATGGGGTGAGGGGGGAGAGGGTCTGGTGGGGAACCTGGCTCTTGTGCTCTGCTTACAAACATATTTCTCCTTCCTCTTCTGCTCCTGTCTGCCTCAGATGGCCCTGACTCAGGTAACTGTCAGCAGCTCTCATTTTTTTCTGTTGAACTGATTGAGCAGCAGCAAAACAGCTGGGGATGTATGGATGTGTGTGTGGAGGCAGGCTCGTGTGCCACCTGGGGTTGGCTCTTCGAAAGTGAAGTCAGTTTGCCAACAGCACAGCTAGTCCTGTTCCTTGGCAGAAAAGGGGTGATGTAGCACAGGAGATCTTGGCGCAGGAGCCTTTTCAAGCTCCACATCTGTGGCTGAAGAGGGGCATATGTGTGCATGCGTGTTTGGCCATCCCCACTGCCACTGATGGCTCTCCAGCCCCTCTGGGACCCTCTAAGGACTGTGGGATGAGTTTCTGCTGTTTCCCTGCTCTGGCAGCTTGTTCCATGGAAGGTGCTTTTCCACCTTCCTGCACATACCTCTTTCTCCTCCAGACATGAGGTTGCAAAGCCAGCCTGTTTATGTGTACAGACAGGGCCTATTTGACTTCTGGGCAGTGCCAGTGGCAAGGAGATTTTTTTTTTTTTTTTTTTTTTTTTTCCCAAAGGGCAAGAAATGAAGCTGTGGACACCCTGACCCTCTACAGGCTGAGTCCTCTTGCCAGCCGATGGGTGTCCACATCTTTTTCCTTATAGGCATTTTGGAGCTCACTGTGCTGGCTGTTCTGGCTTTTTATCCTCTTCTTTGGCAGACTTGGGGATATTTCGGCGGGCAGCGATGGTGCTGTACACGGACTGTATCCAGCAGTGCAGTCGACCAATGTACATGGTAGGTGATTTCTCATCTCAGCACCTCCCTCAGCAATTGCTCACTTTCTAGGCGATGTGCAAATGAGAGTTGTGACTATTTGAAAAAGTGATGCTTCCTGCTTCCCTTCTTCTCCCTCCCCACAAATGTTTGGGTAAGTGTAGGTCTCCACTGGAGCAGTTTAACCATCACTTTCAGGCCTCCTCCGAGCTAAGGCTTGGTGAATAAAACATTGGAGCAAAGGTGAGAAAAGCATGATAGGATTTGTCTTTGCTCTTGCTCTCTGGGGGCATCTGCTCAAAGAAATGGGTACGAATGGGTATGAGGCTCTGGGCAGTGCAGCCTCTCTGAGGAAGGCAGTGACTACTTTGGCTCTGTGGCTTAAGCAACAGCTATTGGTATTTCTATAGCACCTCAGGGCAGACATTAAAAAAGTAAGAAATGGTAGCTGTTACCTTGTGTCCCACTGATTACTTTCTTGGCATGGAGTGCTAAGTAGTAGGGCTTGAAGCCAAATGAAAGTTTGGCATCCATGAGCATCCTTTATTTTGTTTTTTTATTTATTTATTCTTCTGTCTCTGAGTAAGTGTCAGACTGAGTTTTGCAAGCAAACTCTGTGCACTCGGGCATAAAGTAAGCCTGGCCAGCCTGAAACAGCTACATCATGAAAACAGCTGTAATAATAAATGCACGTGCCCCACAGATGTAACCCTTCTGCCTGCTGTAGTTATAGTGCTTCCCTAGCTAATGGTGAGATGGGTGAAAAAAGGCTCCGTGGATAAGTGCGGGATGTCATCCAAAGCTTCCCCTGCTGCCTCTCTTAAGCACATCCTTTCTCTGTGCAATAATTTTTCTGTAAAATGGTGGGAGGGAAGGAATTTAACTAGAAAAACAGTGGAAATAGTCAAAGGACTTGCAGAACCTCCTGAGGCTGATCCTTCAGTGCTGGGCTTGCCCTTTTTTAGATGCTTAGTCTCCTTGCAACACTTTCTTCAAATTTGTGAGGGCCAGAGCAGGTTCTGTCTGGAAAAAGCTCCTGCAGAGCAAACTTCGGAGCCAGGTGCATGTGTGTTTGCAGGAACCAGACTCCAAATCCTCACATAATGATATCCTGAATTTCTGAGGCAAAGGCCTCTTTTTGCATTTCTGTCTGCTTTCATATGATCACCAGTGTCTTCTCTTCAGGACAGGATGGTGCTGCTCATTGTTGGAAACCTGGTCAACTGGTCCTTGTAAGTAGCGGGGTCCAGGTGTCTTGTGTACTTGTACATGTGGACAGCAGGATTCAGTATTGACACACAGGTGGTCTGAAGTGATGGGGAAATGCAGCAGTGTCTGTGTGATAGTCCTCTGCTGGGGCCTTTCTGACACATTTTGGCAAGGAGCTGGATCCGCTGGGTGCTGAATGGCAGGCAGATCCATAGGATGCAGTGTGGCACTACAGAGCTATGCGAGGCATCCTGAAGCCTTTCAGCTAGTGCCCTCATGGCTGGCATCTGAGCGAGCTTGTGTAGGGCTGGCCCAGTACCGCGGTGCTGCGTTGTGCTGTACCCGTGCTTCCCATGTAGCTGTGAGGTCTCTGGCGCAGCCAAGGTGCAGGAGATTTGACAGATGCTTGTTAGTCACAGAGCCTGGCTCAGCAGTAACTGTACGGATGGAGGGATCAGCTCTTGGATTGAGACCTAAAATCGTTGTCCCAGGCTCTTGCTTTTCACTAAAGCTGCTTGTCAGGGACATGTCTTCTGCTAAATGGTACAGATCTGGGGCCAACTCCTACCGAGTGAGATGCATTTGGCCATGCATTGGAAGCAACGAGGGCCCTTGCCTGTCCTCTGGGGTCTCCGCTTGCTCTCAGGGGCTGACCATGACCAAGTTTGTTCTGCTTTGCTTCTCAGCAGGGAGTAGAGGTGAATGGTGCATTCCCTCCAGGGAACTGGGAGCCTGTGGCAGTGTTGCTGTGTCCTGCGGTCTGGGGGGAGCAGCGGGTGGTGGTCAGTTTGGGGATGTAACCTGTCCCCGGTGAAAGAGGCTGTCTAATGCCCCTTCTTCCCTCTCTCTCAGTGCTATCTTTGGGCTGGTGTATCGGCCCAGAGACTTTGCCTCCTACATACTGGGGATCTTTATCTGTAACCTGTTGCTGTATCTGGCATTCTACATCATCATGAAGGTAAAGGAGGCAGCTGTAGCTGTCCCTGGGGTGTGCCTGTCTCTAAAGGGGAATGGGTGGGCCTCTTTTTTTTGACTGAAGTCGAGGTTTCTGTGGTGCTGCAGAGGGATGTGGAGGGGTGTGTGGGGCTCGGGGTGGGACAAGGATGCTGTGTAGCCAACTCAGGGGTGGCTGGGCTGTGTCTCCCTGGAGTGGGCAGCCCTTTGCAGATGCAGATGGGCCAGGCTAGCCTGTCAGCCCTATGCATGGCTCCATCCACTGGAAAGAACTTGGGGCACATTGTGAGGCTATGTCCCTGTCTGCAGCTCCGCAGCTCTGAGAAGCTCCTGCCCATCCCCCTGTTCTGCATCGTGGCCACAGCAGTGGTGTGGGCAGCCGCCCTCTACTTCTTCTTCCAGACTCTCAGCAGCTGGGAGGTAAATTTCCCATTTTGCTGTCCTGTCCATCTCTTGTCATCTTTCCTTCCTGTTGTTCCTTTTACACAAAAAAATACTCTGGGGAAGAGTCTTGGACTGCTCATGGAGAGCTGGAAGGGTTTAACTCCTTCAGCAGATTGGGAAGGGAGCATGGGAAGCTGTGCTGAGCCAAAAATGACCATATGCATGCAGCTGTGAGAGACTATTTGTGACCCAGGTGATCTGGAGGTGACTGGCCCTCATCAGGGGACAGAGGAGGAGTTGGTCATCTGAAAGCAAAACTGGACAAATCCTGGCCAGTGCTGGATGGAAGACTTCTCCCTGGAGCAGATGGCCAATGGGGAATAACCTGCCTGGGCCTGTGGGGGCTCTCTATGGCCTGGGAGGCTCTTAAATCCCAGCTGGGATATCTTCTAACTAGATACCATGTCCATCTCTATGGAAGCAAGGGGCTTGCTGCAGGGTACAGGCTGTGCAGCTTGTGCTATGTAGGACCTCAGATGTGAGACCAGGGGGGTCCCCCCAGCCGTGGGGGGGACATCATGTTCCTGCCCTTGCTCTCACCACATGTCCAGCCAGTACAGCGCTTTTTCCTATCTCCTGCATGGAGAGTTAAGACAGGGCAATTTCCAGAGGGTCCAGTGTGGCCAGCCAGGGTCCTGTGTGAGTGGATATTGGGTCCTGACACCATGCCATCTCCCCTAGGAGACTCCAGCAGAGTCCCGGGAAAAGAACCGGCCGTGCATCCTGCTGGGCTTCTTTGATGACCACGATGTCTGGCATTTCCTCTCTGCAGCTGCCTTGTTCTTCTCCTTTCTGGTGAGTCCTATGGAGCCTCCCACTCTGCTGTATGGCCTTACCCTCTTCCCTTCCTCCTTGTCCCTCTCTATCTGTATGGAGCTGTGGCTGCCCCAAGACCCCACAGAAGTGCCCCAACACCTCTTCTTGGCTCTGCCACTAGACATCCTTCAGAGTGGGATGCTCCTTGTCAGTGGGATCAGGGGTCAGGCTTCCTCCTTTGGCTTGTTGCTCCTTGGGCCTTCTGGCCTCAAATTCCCTCTGGGGCTGTGGGTCACATAGCTGTTGTGGGGAAGCTGAGGGGCTGCTGGTGTGACCAACCCTCTCAAGGGTTTGTGAGGACCTCCCAGAAAGGGACCCTATTCCCTTTGACCCAGGCAGTGGGGTCAGTGGCGTGGAGCTTAGCTCACTCCTGGCTTTCCCTCACTTCCGTAGGTGACTCCTGTGCTCCTCTACTTGGTACCTCTTTTCAGGCCTGATGGTCTGTGCAGTGGCAAAGGTGGAGGCCTCCCCTGCAATGGGGTCACAGCATACTGTTTTGGGGAGGCGGAGAGGTAGACCTTAACCCTAGTTGTGCAAGGTGCAAACAGTGAAGGAGCTGCGTGTCCACATGCAACGTCTGTGGTCAAGCAATTCCCACCCTGCTGCCTCCTGGATGGCTTCTCAGAGGCTACTGATGAGGGACCAGCTTTACAAGCAGTGTCTCCATCATGGTTTGGGCAGGATTACCTGCTCAGGTCCTTGCAGCACTGTAGGCAGAGCTACTTGTCAGATGTACTGCCAGAATGACTTGCTGGGAGTGTTACAGAAAGGAAGTTAGTCTGGCACATCTACATGGGTTGCTGTTGTGACTCCTGTATGTGCTGGAGATGTGGCCCAGGTGGAGCCTCCTGTGATGAGATGCCTTTGGGAGCTGGTCCTTCTCCCCAGCTCTGGGCTGGCCAGCTACCTGAAGCTGCCTCACACTTTCCTCCTCAGGTCCTGCTGACCCTGGATGATGACCTGGATGCAGTGCGCAGGGACAAGATCCCGGTGTTCTGAGTCCCCAGGGGAGGGGGGCGCAGCAGTGTCCCAAACTGCTCAGCCAAAGGCACCGGGCCACCGGCATCTGTGGGGAATGAGCCTGCTTCTGTGGCCAACAGCCCCATGGGAGCAGGGGAGCCAGATCCCACAGCAAGCATGAAGGGGTGCTGCGGCAACTGAGGTGGGACTGGGAGGGAAGACAACATTTGCTCTGCACCCTCTGGGGCAGACATGACCCGGGGGCTGAGGCCAGTGCACAGCCCTCTGGCTTGTAGGTGCAGCAGGTGCTGGAGCCAGTGAAGAGGGAGAAAACAGGAGGTATGTTTGAGAGCTTTGTTTCCCTTCCTCCCTGCTGACGTGCTCCGCTTCCTCTCTGGTGAGCGGGCTTGAGGAGAGCAGTGCAGCTTCTGCCTCAGCAGCTGTGCCTGTACTGTGTGGGCTGCCGGCCTCGGAGAGTCCTTTCAGCAGCACGGGGAGAGTGTTTGTTTGGTTCCTGACCTGCAGCCGCTGAGTGACCAAAGGACTCCAAGCTGAGGTGGCAGTGGGGGACTGGTTTCTTTTTTGTTGGAGAGGCTCCTCCTGTAGCTGGTGGGGAGCCATGGTAGCAAGAAGAAACAAGTCCAAGGGACCACAGTGTTGGAGAGAGATGGTGAACTAGAGTTGCCCACGAGTGCTCTGCCAGAGGCAGAACCTCCTGCCTTGCTCTTGTGGCCTCTCTCATTTACACATGTTGAACAGCCTCACTTCTTTCTGGCGGCTCCTACGCAGGCACTTGTCAGTGTGATGGCCTCCTTCACAGCACCAGAAGTGCTGTCCTCAAGCAACCCCAAGAGAGATGGTGCAGTGAAGCTGTGGCCTTGTGTGCTGGGTACCTCCTTGGCAGCTCCCTGGCTCCTGCTGCGTGCTCTTGCAAAAGGAGCAGGGTGGAATGGGGAGGGGGGGATGTGTGTGCAGCAGCCTCAGACTTTCTCCCACAAGCTTGCTTTAGGCAAACTTGGCAAAGCAGGTTCCCTTATGGGCTGGGAGTGTGGAGGAGGTTTGGGGGCATTTGGGGTTGAGCTGTTTAGCTAAAGATCTGGACCAAACTTCTTTCCTCTCCAACTTTTCTGCATCTGAAGTAAGTTTTTAAATGGCTTCTGCATTCTTCCTGAATTCTCAGTTATTTAAGAAACAAGAATAAGGTGTGAATTATTTCAGGCCTTGCATTTAAAATGTGACCTGTTTTGCTAATTTTGAATTAAAAAGTATTCTTTGAGGCCTGCTGTCCTTATTCTTGTCGTTGTCTGAGCATTTTTTTTTTGGTGTATGTGCATGTACCCAGTGATGCAAAGGCTCCATTCCACTTGTGCTTACCAAAGCAGAAGGCTATGGTAATTTTCTACTCCTATCTCCTAGAAGGGCTTTGCACTAGCTGGTTTTTATTTTTTTTTTCTAAGCTGGAGTTTGACAAGATGGTCAATAAAATGAATGTTCTTGGCTCCTTGCTCTGCAGGTTGATCTGAATTCTTCTTGCTCCAGCTCTCAGCAGCAGCTAAGAGAGCACTGAGGGCACAGAGGTGCCCAGTGGTGTCACACAGCTGCTGTCATCCTTGGCTCCTTAGGAGCCTCACAGTTTCCTGAGCATTGGTACAGATGACCTGCTTGTCCTCCTAAGCAAATAGCCTTTGTGGGTCTAACTGGGGTAAAGAACAGACGCTCTTGTTTGTCACTCTAGCCCCTTTGGCAGAGTGAAGAGAGGGTTGGAGGAAGAATGACACAGAGGCTGCCAGCAGCTATGTCCTCCCAAGCAGAGCTGCGCTCCTATGGAGATGTAGCCACATTTCAGGCAGGGCATGCTGGAACCTGCAGAAGGTGGTGGTGGTCCCTGCGTGCTGTGTTTTATTACAGTACTTGGGGCTTGCAGGTTTGCCAAGCAGATGGAGTTGTGAATGTTCAATGATGCTAGAAATAGGGGTAGGTTTCTCAGGCTTGTTGTGAAGCATAAGCTTCTCTTCCTTAGCAGCATCAGCATGGGCTGCAGGGAAGGAGGGGGCACTTGCTTTTGTCTGAGTAGCACCAGCAGAGGAATATCAGGCTGAGGATAGTGCGCATTTCCCATTCAGCCACCCTGCAGCCTTGGCATACATTCTCGGTCTAAGACTGCAGAATCCAGTATTAGCTACACAGGCTTGCCTGCAGCTTCCTTTTTCTTCCCATAAGGAAGGACTGCCAGGAGGTCTGAGCTGCAAATAAAACCCCAAATCCTTACTCCTGAGTGCAGCAAGACTAAGCCGATCCTGTCTGGGACTCCTGGGGGGGCTGTGGTGCTCTGCCTTGCCCGGCATGGTTCTAAGCATGCTGTGCAGATGGAGCCACCTGGGTTTCTGTACCCAGAGGTGTATGAATGTTTGACCCAACAGCTTTTTTTGCAACACTTGTTCTGTGCTGCCCTGTCCTCCTCCCTGCAAATGCAAGGGCTGCTGTAGGACCCCAAGTGCTGCACTTCCAGTTCTCTGACCAGTGAAACCAAAATTTGCTGTGATAATATCTGGGGTGTGCAGGACGTGCTCTTTCCAGAGCTCCCTGGGGAGGGCGGGTGGTAACACGCAGTGATAGCACGGCTGCCAGCACTCTCCATTCCCTCCCTCCTCTCTGCCTCTCTAGTCCTGGCCCCAGGAGCAGAGGTCTGAGGCATGGCTGCACAGAGCCCTGCTGCGTGGTGCCACCTGGAAGCTGCATGAAGAGCTGCAGTGGTAGATCTGTTCGGGAGGTGATGTGCTGGTGTGATGGTCACATCATTTGCTGCTGAGGTGAGCTAGGGAGCAAGTGAGGCAGTGCTTTGGAGCTGGGACTGGGGGAGGTAGCAGGAGAAGGAGGGGAGAAAATTGCCTGATGGTGTCCTGTTGTGGTTTAACCCTAGCCGGCAACTAAGCCCCACACAGCCGCTTGCTTGCTCGCTCCCCACCCCCCTGGGATGGGGGAGACAGTTGGAAGGGTAAAAGTGAGAATACTCATGGGTTGACATAAAGACGGTTTAATAGGTAAAGCAAAAGCTGCACACACAAGCAAAGCAAAACAAGGAATTCATTCACTACTTCCCATCGGCAGGCAGGCATTCAGCCATCCCCAGGGAAGCAGGGCTCCATCATGTGTAACAGTTCCTTGGGAAGACAAACGCCATCACTCAGAATGCCCCCCCTTCCTCCTTCCCCACAGCTTTATATGCTGAGCATGACATCATATGGTGTAGGATACCCCTTTTGGTCATTTGGGGTCGGCTGTCCCAGCTGTGTCCCCTCCCAGCTTCTTGTGCACCCCCAGCCTACTCACTGGTGGGGTGGTGTGTGAAGCAGAAGAGGTCTCGACTCTGTGTAAGCCCTGCTCAGCAATAACTGGAACATCCCTGTGTTACCAACACTGTTTTCAGCACAAATCCAAAGCATAGCCCATAGAGTTAATTTTTTCCATAGTAGTTGTCTCAGTCAAAACCAGCTCAAGTCCTTACCATGGGCCTCGCCTGAACAGTATCTTGCTCTAGCAAGTGCCTGGAAAAGTTCAGGCTGAGCCCCCTTTGTGCCTTCAGGATGGGTTGCAAGGCTTTGTGTGGGGAGGTCCTTGCTGGGCAGCAGTGCTGTGGTGGGCAGGATAAACCCCTGGGTGCTGGGGGCACATGGGGTTCAAACACAGCCTGCTAGCAGCAGCAGGTTGAGCAGCAACTCCCGTGAAGTGCTAAACCAAAAGATGCCTCTGCTTGAGGCAAGGCTCGCCTTGCTCCTCTGGGACTTTGAGGTAGATCTCAGCTAGGGTGAGAGCTTGTCAGCTGGGAGGCTATGCTGGGGTGATTAAAGGTGCCTGAAGTGGAGATACTGCCCTGCTGTTGCCTGAGGCTCAACAGTTAAGAGCATCTGCCTCCTTTAGGAACTGCACCAGCTTTAATCTTTTTAGCTGCCAGGTTTCTCTGGTATCCATGCTGCAGTCACCACGCAGCTGCAATTGCACCACGCAAAGCACCCCAGAGCCCGCTGAATATTTTTATGTGAAGTGAGCAAGTCTGGCCAGAGACTCTGGTGCGGTTCTTTTCTAGAATTAGTAAACACTGCTTCCCTCAGTCCCCTTGTGCCAGAGAGATGGGGAGAAGAAGGAGCTAGTTCACAACCCTGTTGATCTTGACAGATCATCAGAACTGGTGTACAAGGAAGTATTTGGTGGGGGAGGAGCGAGACTTGGAGGATCCAGTGTTGGATCCTGCTGTTTGTGAGCGTAACCTGAAGTCCTCTTTGCACACTGTGCTGCCTTCGCCTCCCCTGCTTAGTCAGGTGCAGGATGGGCTCTCGCGTTGCAGGACTGCCCTCACCCTGTGTTTAGGTGTGGTGAAAGATGAGCAGCTTTTCCTCTTGTACAAGTACGTTGTTCTGCTCGTGGTGTATTTGGCAGTGCGTAGAAGTCAACGAAATAGGACAAGGCGTTGGGGTAGTAGGAACATTGCTTCTGAGGTGGACTGAAGAAGGGCTTGAGTGGCCCAAAGTTTGTCCAGTTTTGGATGCATATTTTCATAAGAGATATTCCTTCTCCCTGCGTCTTCCATAGTCTGTAGTCTCAGACCTTGTTCCAAGCTTGTATTTGTTTCTAACCAGGAAGCTGGTTAGCTTCTCTCAATAGGAATGTGAGAAAAAACTAGTGCTGAACAGCAGTTGGAAGGCTCGGCGTAGGAGGTAGAAGAGCAACATACGGGCTCGTTGAGCTAAGCAGAGATGAGCACAGTATGTGAATGGCAAGGCAGTAGCTGCAGTGAGAGAGAGAAGCTGGAGAAGGGTGGAAAACAGCACAGAACAAGCAGAAAAACATGAGAGAATTAAATACAGGGAAAGGCACCTCAAGCCTCAGAGTTGGGAGGAAGGGTTGGAATCATCTCCCTGCTGCTTCTGTGCCTCCAGCTTGATGCATCCGTTTTTAAAATTTCCTCTTAGCTTTGCCCTGCCTGCTGGTTTCTTTGTGCTTCAATTCTCCCTCTTAGCAGCTGCAGGGCCCAGCCCAACCTG